AGGTCGAGTCCTCCGACACCATTGACAATGTCAAGTCCAAGATTCAGGACAAGGAGGGAATTCCCCCTGACCAACAGCGCCTGATCTTTGCTGGCAAGCAGCTCGAGGATGGCCGCACCCTCTCAGACTACAACATCCAGAAGGTCCGTAACATCAGGAATTGAACCACGACCAGGAATCGCTTGTCGTTCTAGGAACGTCGTCGCAATTTGGGATCGCATGCTGACCGACATAACAGGAGTCCACTCTCCACCTGGTCCTTCGTCTCCGTGGTGGTATCATCGAGCCCTCCCTGAAGGCTCTTGCCTCCAAGTTCAACTGCGAGAAGATGATCTGCCGCAAGTGCTACGTATGTTCCATCCTAAGCTCCACGACCCAGGCAGATCGATAGACTAACAAGACGTTATAGGCTCGTCTTCCCCCCCGTGCCACCAACTGCCGTAAGCGAAAGTGCGGTCACACCAACCAGCTCCGACCCAAGAAGAAGCTCAAATAAACGAATCAACCATCTATGTGGCGTCTGGTCTTTCTGGCATTATGGGGTTGGCAAGGAGAGAAGGGTTCCTTTGTTCGCAGATACTGGCTTTGTTTTTACACTAGCACCGGCAGCTTAGGGAATCCATTCTAGATTACGCAGCTGGATCAAATGGTTGGTCCCCCACGTACCGGACGTGACATGCTGCATCTTTGCGTATCCCACATTACTGTAAGCATTGGCAGAAAGATTTAGAGGTACCATGGCGTTAAAAAGGTCTCTGGTCTGCGGTGCAAACTGGGCAGTAGGCTGCCAATAAAAAATAAGTATCTGAATTTCTAAAAACAAACCTCTCCAAAACTTGCAAGTCCTATACAGTCAAGACTCTATCTCCAGCAACGCTCCGAGCTCACGAGGAGATTTGTGCTTACTTTGTTCTTTTTCCATAAGCAAGAGTAATCTCAAGATCACGCCTTATAGATGACTATCATGATAACAAAATTATGTTGATTAAAGATGTCGGTCCATACATAAACTGAGTAAACACAGAACAGTCATCAATGTTAGCACCAGCAGATCGGGCCCGGCATCAATCCCTCCCAAAATTCTAAGAAGGGCCGGCGTGGTATAACTTAGCTATGGCTCCCAGGGGGCAGACTCACAACCACACCTCTTTCGTTAAGCCGGTTCCTATAGTGTCTATAATCATCTTTATCCTTACCAGTCAGGGCCTAGCCAGATCAAGTGGCTACATCCTCATAGACATGAAGACGATCATCACAAACAATCCAACGCTATGTCGGTTGTTGTTCATTCAAAATACAGATGTTTTCCACTCTCATCTAAGTGTTGGACAAACAAGGAACGATGAAGCACTGTATTGCACGAATGATCGTCATCATGTTTATCTCGACTTACACCATGAGTCAGGGATAATGGCCAGTATCAGCGCTTTGAAATTCATACCTTTCGTGCGCAACTGCCAATTATATCTAAGTATTCATAAGGAACAAGTCCTCATAAAGAAAAGGTCTGCATCAACCCAAATAACTGGGAGAAACATTCATCGATGCAGGTCCCTAATTGACATATTATGTAATATTCATAGTTGTCGCGCAAGACTTATGATTAGTCATCAGCTCTGACGACAACACCCTGTCCAGAGAGCTTGATTGCTTAGCACCAGATCTCAGCAGACGACAGATCCCGAAATAGATCCTGAGACTCTTCCGCTCAGAGAATCGCTGCCGCCTCCGAACCCTGAGAGCTCCTTAGTTGTTGCTATAGGTGGCTTTCCCTTCTCTACACACAATACTTCGGCAAATACCACAACACAATGTCTAGATCAGGGTATGACGCGGTAGTCGATATCGACGATGAGGTACGCGAACTGATGAGGTGGCCTCGATTCGTGATCGCCATCGAGCGCAACACAACCATCACCTGCATATACTAACTTACCCTCTCAGGGCGACCTTGGACACACCGACCTTCAAGAGGATCTCGAATTCCACACCTCAAACTTCGACGACACAGCTCATGGATCCCGCAAACCCCCTTCCGCCGGCTTGCCCCCTCCAGCAACGTCCTCCTCTTCTGGCTCTTCGAAGCGCTTCTTGTGGTCGATTTCCTTCTACGCACAATTCTTCGATGTCGATACTTCAGCCGTACTGTCCCGCTGCTGGGCTGCGCTCTGGCCCCGCGCCAACTTCCTAGATGTGCTTGAAGGCAACCCCGACCTCTACGGGCCAGTCTGGATTGCCACCACGGTTGTTCTGATTCTCTTCCTCGGAGGCACTGTCAGCCAGTACCTCTCTGAAACCGAAAAGGCAAAGTTCGCATACGACTTTAGGCTTCTCAGTGGTGAGTTTTTGTAAACTACGAGGTGTTCAGCCCACACTTTCAGTCGAACCATTGGCTAATCTTACCGCAGGTGCCGCGGGTCTCATCTACGGCTACACTTTGTTCATCCCAATTGGCCTCTTCCTAGCCCTGCGATACTTCGGCAGCGAGCTTGCCAACCTCCTCGAGTGCTGGGCCCTATACGGCTATGCCAACTTGATCTGGATCCCCGTCGCCATCATCAGCTGGTCTCCTATTAGCATTCTGAACTGGGTGTTTGTCGGCGTCGGCTTTGCCGTATCTGTCGCCTTCCTCCTCCGAAACCTGTACCCCGTTCTGAGCGCCACGGACCACCAAGTCAGCAAGGTTCTTCTCATCGTCGTGATTGCGCTACATGCCGGTCTTACCCTCGCCATCAAGATCTTGTTCTTCGCACACGACAGCCCTGTGGCACAGACCCCGTCGACCCCTGGAGGCGGAGACACGACCACCCCCGACCAGGCCGTTGATAACTCCACCGCTGCCATGTTCTTCTAAACTATCTGTCTCTATGGGTGTAAACGGGTTCAGGTGTTTTTCCAGTATTTTTTACCCCTTTTTTTCAGCGGAGTCACTTCCAGGGCATTGATTGTTGGTAGAAAGATAGGCTCAAGATCAAACTGTATGTATGTATTTTTGGGGGTTCTTTTTTTTTTCTCTTTATTTGTACAATTACCCAAGCTATGCATCTACAAGATACGTTTTGCCTCAAGTAGCCCCTCATAGCAGAATACGCACACCGCGTCCCGTGCGGGCTGCATCACCAATGTTCAAGACCTCCTCTTGCCCTTGACATACTCCACGGGGCCATTGTGCGCCTCCCAGTCGATCCAGCTTCCCGAGTACTCCCCAACGTTTGTCCATCCAGCGTGCTGTGCCAGGCCGGCGGCTGACTTGGCCCTCACGCCGGCCTTGCAGTAGAACATGAGCTCCGCGTCCTTGGCGGGGCGCTCAAACCCATAGAGATCGACAAAGTCCTCGTCTGAGATGTGGAAGCTCTGGACGGCGCTGGTGATGGGGATATTGATGGCGCCGGGGATTTTACCCGTGGTATTGAGCTCTTCTGGCTCTCGTACGTCTAAACAATGGGGGGTGTCATTATGCCGGTCTAAGGGCGGGCGGTGCTGTTCACATACCGACAAATATCACACTGGGCTTGTCGTCCGAGGACTTGTTGGCCTTAATCTGGTCCTTGATATCCAAGTGAGTCCACTGTCGGCTAAAGGGGATAGCATCGCCGGAGTAAGAACGCGAGGCGATCTTCGTGGCTGCGGTCGCGCGGGGGATCAGGGGACGTCGCTGGAGGTGGTAGGAGCGATTTGCGACGGATGCCACCTTCGTGGTGATGGAGGAGGATACTCGGGGGGCGGCTGGCGCGGCAACGCGCAGCAAGGCGGTGCTGAGGAATCTTCGAGGTGCCGCCATCGTGAGTAGCAGTGGGAAAGTCTGGTTTGCGATCGGGTAGCCGAGAATGTTTAGTCCTGGTGGAATTGTGAGCGGGAGCTGTAGCTCGAAGATGGGGTCCCGGGGACAGCAGGATAGATCCCGATTGATGGTCCGGGGTACAGAGGATCGCTCCGGTAACCATCTAGCATTCAACTTACCTTTTCGCCTTTGTCTTCTCCCGGTATTGAGGGTAAATTGTCGTGGTGAGTGCGACCCCAGTGAAGTTGAGGCTGAGACACTTTCCCAATGAACTCGGTGATGATGAAATCCGCCGACAACGGTCCCACTTCTTTTCTCTGGCCTGCGGATGTTCTAACTTTACTGTTTCTACAACTCTGCTAGTTTGCAGTTGTCTTTATCTGTGTTGTATTCTCAATTTTTGTGTTTGGTTCTATAGCATTGGATGGCACTTTTCTATTTATCCCAAATAATCAAGGCCCCAAGGGTGTTTATCAAGCTTCCGGAGCTTTCCCACGTCATTCAATGGGTTCATGACAACAATCTACAACCTGCTCTTACTCCATTCACAACACTATGCAATTATTAGTAGTTATTGTGTTTGCTCAGCCTTTCTAGTCTGGCACGTGGAGAGGATTTCCCCTAAATTCCAGGTTTCAACCGCCAGAGATTGGACTTAACCTGCAGAGAACCGTGAACATCCATATTTGCAATCAAGATCGGCGTTTGCATGGCAGGCAGGGTAGGTACATGTCTAGCTCCTTCCCTCGTACGTGTTACGCAGCCTGGATCTGTACCAAGCTAGATCCTCGAACCACGCGCTTTCCAACATGAATTTGCCCCGATCAAGTATTATCACCAGTTACTTATATTCAATTTGAGCTGATCTATCCTCTACCAATAATGTCCGAGAATATCTCAACCCGGCCGCCAAAATATGTACATCCTAAAATCTCGATGCGGCCATTACAATTAGTTTTGGGGGATACACTATCCTGATCAGCATGGGTCTGTTGGCCATTGATACGGAGGCCTCAAATCCACTCGATCCAGACACCCCGCTGTCTTTTTTAAAAGACCCAAACTTGTCAACGCTGGCGTTGCCCCAATCTGGGTCATGAAACAGACTGCGTTCCTTGGACGCGCCTTTTGCTAATGCTATATCAGATGGTCGTTGTTTTCGTCAATAGGACATGCTATCACAGGGCCAGACCGGTCCGGCTTTTCTCCTGCTTCGTGTCTACCAACCCCTCTTCTGGAACGTAAGGGGGCAATCATCCTAAAGGAGTACGAGTCAGAAACGGAACCTATGGATTCATTCTCAACGAGTCGGAGACATACCATGGGGAAAATGGTGGCAAACACCTTGATCTCCTCCGACCTGGGAGTCGCATGGTGCTGCCAATCTAATTGAACTGATGCTTTTCCCAGGCAGAGGGCCAGGTTCAGCTGCGCATACAGCTGACCGAGGCAGTAGTGAGGGCCAACACCAAACACGAGGTAGTTCTTGGCCCCCTTCTCCTCAGCATCACCGGAGTAGTAGCGTTCCGGGTCGAAGTAGTCGGGGTTTTCGTACACCTCGGGGTCGTGCAGAGCCATATAGGTTGTCGGGATTATCATGGAGCCTAGATGGACGACAACGGTCAGCACACTCAAAACACAAGAGAACACCCCTTGCTCCCACCACGGCAGCCAGTTATTCGGCTCGAGTACTCACCCTTTGGAACCGTGTAACTATCGGTAATGGGGAATGGCTTCTTGACAACATAAGGAACCATGAGGACGGGTGGTCGGTATCGCAGAAGCTCACGGATCACAGCTCGTGTGTATTTCAGACCCTCGAGTTGCTCCATGGTAAGCTCTGCGTGGATATCGCCGTTACGGACCTTCATATTCTCCTCGCGGACCTTGTCCAGCACGTCGGGACGTTGGGCCATGATCTGAAACAGCCAGGTAACAGCACTGCTGGTTGCATCCTGTGACGCGAAGAGGAAGGTGAAAACTGTCTGCGCAATCTCGTAGTCGTTGAACATTCGGATCATGGGTTGCGGCTTCTCCAGGTTGGCGGTCGATTCCCCAGTCTCCTCAGCCTCTCGCCATCTCTGGGACTTAATCATAATATCGATCCAGGCGTCCATAATACAGGTAACATCGCCACCAGCGGCCATCCGTACCTTACTCTTGGCTGCGCACTTTGTGAATTCGATCAAAACCATATCAGCCGCCTTCTTTCCATACCAGGCCTTGGAATAAGGAAGTATAATCGGAAAGTTGACTAATTCGAGGGCTGCAGTAATAAGATAATAGTCGTCGGCAATATTCTTGATGGCCTCATCCGAGATATAGTAACCAACGAAGCTTCGGAGGGAGACGGCGCACATGATCTCGCGGAACTCGGACATGAAGGGGAGAGGGTTGCCGCCATTCTCTTCGGTCAGTCTGGCGAATCGGGCAAAGTAGTCCTTGTATACCTGCTCTTGGCCGGGCAGGTACTTGGCAAGAGCCTTGCGTGTGAAGAGGTTGTTCAGGCCTTTGCGGAACTCGGTATGGGGCTTGCCGTCGAGGAAGACCCAGTTATCGTGGCCAAGCAGCTTGGGGGCAACGTCCACAACTGTTGGCTTGACGTACGAGGGCGAATTGAGAGTCTTTCGGGCCAAGTCTCGGGTCGAGGCAATAACGACGAATCTATGAAACGGAACCTGGTGTCAACTTTCTTCCCTCTTCCCTCAATTGCAACAATTAGGTAGGTTATTCGAACGCACTTGTGGAAAACGGACACACAACTCAAGGGTCCGCTGAGCCACTTGTTGTAGTATCCCTCGAACTTGGGGTCCATTGACTCAAGAAAGGGGCCGATGAAAGGCATCTTCCAAGAGGGGCCGGCGATTGAGCCTTTGTTGGCAATATAGCTAACTGTACACAGGGTACGAAATCATTGTGTTAGCTCTCCTCACCCATGGCCAAGGGGCAAGAACAATGAGAAGGCCAATCGATCTCACAGGCTCGGTCCAATCGGACGAGTTACCGATCGATCAAGACGAAGGAGATCCATGCATACCTTGGTCGTAAATAACACACATAGCGATAACCGTGAACAGGACTGTCCAGATGTTGGGGGCGGTCAATGTTCCAAAGAGGAACTCCATGTTGGGTGATATAGCCATGCCGGCCATTTTGGTCTGCGCCAACACCGAGGTGAAGGCAGAGGAACTGGTGTTTTCGTTCATTTGGGGTAGGTTTCTGCCGCAACAATGGACCCAATCCTGTTTCTCTCTCGACGAGTATCTGTCTGCTGGCAGTTCACCACCTAGCAGGAGAGCTTATCAAGAGTCTACGGGAAACTGACCATACGATAAAGAGTAAGGGCGATACTATAAGGCGAGTACGGAGGGGAACCAGGCTGTAATAAAGAAGAAATCGGCAAACGAATGTGGAGATGTTAGTAATGGCCCTGACGCTGGACGCTCTTCGTCGAACTGCCTGCAGTAGGGGTCCAAATCCGAATACGCAGGTGGAGGAGATGTTACGATTTCCGGGTGCTTGCTGGAAGGACAACGGGGAGAGAAGCACGTTGTGCTGTCGTTGAAGGCCAGGGGGGAGGGTGAGAGAGCAATCCGGGAAGAAAAGGAAGAAGAGGAAGAGCGCGTGTAGGGCAGCGTAAAGAGAGATCTGCCGCCTGCCAAAACGGCAAATAGAGATGGAGACGCAGGGTGTGTGAACGGTCCTAGAGATGCCTGTCACACGGGCCAGCCAGCAGGTAAGCGGGGTCCTATCTCGGGAGGGAAGGGGGACAGGAGCAAAGAAGAGTCGATGAATGGATACAGACTGCCTGTCAGTTCCATCCCTTGCAGCTCCTCCAGCATTCGACCTGAGGTAAGGTAAAGAAGTGGTCGTCGACCTAATAACTTACACCGAAGGCATGGGGGTTCCCCTACCTTATTGGGAGGGCGGCTCCGACTGCAGTGGACGCTACCGCCCGAAGCGGCTTAACGCATCCCAAACACCCGCGCCCCTGTCCACCTAGAACTTACAGTGGGCGGACAGCGCTGGGCGACATCCTTAGCTGCCATGCTAACGCCATCTCCAGCGCTGCGGTGGCTTTCTAGACCTGGGAAACCCGGCACTAGGGAGCTCCACATATGCAAAAAGCAGACCACTTTCTGATCATCAACGGTAATACAATCTGCCCTAAATGTCCCGACCACGAGGCCAGCCAGGGACTTACTCGAAACGACAGTATCAGAAAGCGAGTCTGTATCTTTGGCGCTTCGCGATGCGCTCCCTTGCTTGGCTGATGCCAGCCCTCTCGCCTCTCTGCAAGTCGCCAAGTCAATGAACGGACCAACCGAGCCGCGTGCTATCGGATTTCGTCGTCAATTTCGATTTCTCGACCAGGAACCCAACACTTTTTGTCCCAAACTCTGCGACGGCGCCAGATCCCGGGGGGGTTCAAGTGTGGAGGGGGATACAAGGGTACCGCCGCCACCCATCTCAAGATCACCCCATTTTCCAGATTATTCTGGCACTAAGAGCATGGTGAACCTTGTCGGGGCTGTTTGTCTCGGAGCCAAAGATTTCAACAATCATCCCAACTCGGAACAAAGCAGAGCAGAAACCAAGGCGATGAACTAAGGAGGGGATGAGAAAGAGGAGGAATTTTTATGGATTTTTCCGTGTCGATTTCCATCATTTTGGTGGAATCTAGCCCAACTACCTGGTTGCTGGGAACTTGGCTTGTCTTACACAACCATCTCATCGAGGTCATGTGCAGCCATTCCCGCGACCAAGTGCGCTACGAGCGAAAAAAAGCATTTTTTGAAGGTACTATGTAGCACTATCGTATTCGCTGACTGGGTTGCTGTAGGTCTAGGCCCTTGTAATATGATTCTTTGCCATGTGTTTCTTTGGCCGTTGAAGGAACGGAACGGGGGTGGTCAGGGTTTTCTTTTTTTCTTCTGGTCCCTTGACCGCTTTCTTGCATGACGGCAGCCGTGTCGCGTTGCTGGGCGAGGGTCGTCATATTGAGAGGTGACGGTCGATCATTTTAAGCCCAATGCACGGGCAAAATTTGTCGCTTCAGTAAATTGACAGCTGTTTATCAGGGTCTCACCGGCCGTTTTCTGTCATTGGGTTCGCCTGCAAATTGCGCATCGAGCCTAGCACGACTAACAATCCACTAGCACAATGGCATGCATCCAGGCGAACCCAATGGCTTACCGAGTTACCTGACCGACTCCATCGAGAATTGGACGATAGACTGGGTAACTGCGGTTTCAGAAACTTCGCGAAGGACTCAGGTTTGTCTTACAACGAGCATGTCAATATTGGTTGTGACTGTGTTCCTGGAAGATCAATCTCAGACCCTGGCTCGGGAAGTAGGAATCCCGGTTAGGCGATAACCATCTCATTATGGTTTCATTTTATGATCTTACCGACCATTGAGAAAAAAAATCTGCAGGTCTTTTGGCAGCCAAATGATTGGATGTAGGTGATAACCTCGTCAGGGAATGTCGGAAGTTTCCGTGTCTAGTATTCGGGTTTGCTGCAGGACGGGCGCCTCTGCTGCTCCGTCGCATTGATGAGTGGTGCATGTCATCGCATGTACGACTGCCCATCTTTGCTTGGGGTGACGCACAGCTGTGCAATGCAATGCAATGGTCCGCTTGGTACTGTACCCTCCGGGTACGTCCAGAGAATAGACTGGCCCGATCTGGGTCAGGTATGAGGACCGCGATTTGAGGTTGGTCCCTTGGTTTTCTTATCTCTTATCTCTTATCTCTTATCGATCGTCGGCTTGCTATCGCTTCAATTGCGTCATCCCGTGCCGCTTCCAAGTATTCGGCTACCCTAGACAGGCGGCCGCAACCCTTTCGGCCTTCAGATCAGATCGTCGGGCTCGCTTTTTCAGTTTCCCAACCCCTTTCGGGTTAACTAACCAGAGGTTTTGGAAGGCGACATCGCAGCCTAGTGGTCGCCTGTATTGAGAATTACCTGCCGACTTGGGCTTCTTTCATGCCGCAGTGGGTGCGTGTGATGTGGGATGACGAATGGGCGCCTCGAACATCAGTGGGTGCCACTTGTGGTGGACAAAGTGCGCTATATGACGAAGGTAGTTTTGGGAGCTGAAGCGACGTAGTGCATTCCTTAGGCGGGATCTGGTGTTGGATGCACAGCCTGCCTCCGAGACCCAAGGCTGGTGCTATGGCGAGGTTATTAAAGCCAAGCGTTGCCCCGAGCATTCGTCCCTGGCTAAACCAACAACACCAACAACACCTGCCTCTGAACTTCCCCCGCTACCCACAAATCACACAGCAACTACAATCATACTCTACGAGAACGGACAAAATGCCTACTTACATTGTATGTTGCGATCTACCACAGATAACGCCCGCGCCGTCTGTTATCATGAACTTACACTCGTTTCGTTGCCTAGATCACCTGCAAGGAGAATGCTACCGACGACGAGGTCAAGTCGTACGTACCATAACGCTTGCCCCCTACATTATTGCCGCCGATGAGAGTAATGAAACTGACGACCGTCGCAGGGCCAAGGAGCACGCCGTTAAGCAGGGCGGCACCATCGAGCACGAATACAAGATCATCAAGGGCTTCTCGTACGTACCCCGCGCCCTTCTTGGCCCTATGGACGGGAGCTAACAAACTGCGACAGAGTCAAGTTCCCTGACGGCGCCGTGACCACGCTGGAGTCTCACCCCAGCATCAAAGCGGTTGAGGCAGACGGGGTCATGAAGATCCAGTGAACAGTGTACGAGTAGGGGAACGGCGGCGCGGTCATTTGCATGAGGGCGCCGAAGACTTGCATGTATATCACGGAAGGCTTTATCCCTACCATGTTCAGTGACGGGAGCAGATATGACCAACAATGTTAGAGCTTTCCTCCACATCATTCAATATGAATTATGATATAATTTGTTTCTCAGCCAGCCTGGTCCAGACTCTTTGTTTTCCTATAGTCCCAACTCAATTCAGCCACGGCGCTTCTGCTGGCCTCCTCCAGCCCCGCGCACGGTCTTGCTCGTGCTGTGACGTAGCGAAGGACCCCGCGATAAGAGACGCGGGATAAGCACCGTCCCCCTCCTTTCGCTTTCCGCTATCTCACATAGCGTCCAGCGGCACAAGCTGGCTACAATCGGTACTAACCCCACTTACTAAGCAAGCCGCCAATCTGGGGCCGAACGTCTCGTCCGCCTCGCCTTGAGAGACAGTCACGCACTGCTACTCGATTTATAGATCCGATCGGTGATGGATCCTCGGCTGTGATGCCACCCCATCCGTCAATGCCACCGATTCGGTCTTGATCTTTCATTTCCACCTTGTCCCATTCTAGCGAATTTATCTTATTGCACGCTGTGCGCAGCAATTGGCTGTTCCTCTCACCTTCTTCGTCTTGGATATGAAGTAGCCGTCGCAATGAACCGCCTCGTTCAGCCCATGCGGCGCTGCCGCATCCCTTCCCTCGTACATTATCCCACACGCCGGATAGCCCCAGCAATATGGCAGTGCTCCTCGTTCTCGACGAATTCGCCTGCATCAGAGACGGGGTCGTCTGGGTACAACGTGACGGATGCCGACATCATGGCATTGTCCAAGCTGCGCCAACACTCGTTAAGCCTTGCTGACCTTGTCAAGTACTGCTCTCTCACATACGATACATATTCATACCCAACGCTAATCAGACCTCCCTCTATAATGTAGACACGGCCGTCCTCCTCTTTCCGAGAAGTCACTTCTTTCCTCCGCCAACTTCACCCTCTCTCTGTTACCGATCCGCCTCGCCCACCGACTCCAAGCCCTCCGCAACCTCCCGTACATTGTCGTGTCGAACCCCAACATCTCTCGTATATACAGCACCTACCTGAACTCCCTCTCCATCCTCCTGCCGTACTGGCGAGCGGCAGCCGAGGGCCGCCCGATCAATTCTCTGGAAGAAGAGATTCGCTTCACCAACACCCTGGCCGAGCTCGTCGCCATGCACACCGACACCATCCCAATCCTCGCCCGCGGGTTCCTCGAGTGCCGACGGTACATCTCCCCCAGCCAGGTCACCACCTTCCTCGACGAGCACCTGCGCGCCCGGATCGGCACCCGCCTCGTCGCGGAGCAGCACATCGCCCTCCACTTCAGCAGCCAGCCTCACTTCGACCCCGAGGCCAGCCCGACCCCCTGCCCCGAGCACCCCTCCTTCATCGGCGTCATCGACACCGCCCTCAAGCCCGCC